TTCCTGAGTAGCTGGGATTACAGGCACGCGCCACCATGCCCAGCTAATTTTTTGTATTTTTAGTAGAGACGGGGTTTCACCATGTTGACCAGGATGGTCTCGATCTCTTGATCTCGTGATCCACCCGCCTCGGCCTCCCAAAGTGCTGGGATTACAGGCTTGAGCCACCGCGCCTGGCCTGATCTTGAACTCTTAAGCTCAAGTGATCCACCTGCCTCAGGCTCCCACAGTGCTGGGATTATAGGCGTGAGCCATCGTGCTGGGCCTCTGTCTTTTTAATTGATATGTATACTTCTCTTATGTTTATTAGGATTATTTATTTATTTTTTCTGCTCCTTTTCTTCCTCCCACCCCTCACCCTCAAGAAGGCCCCAGTATCTGTTGCCTCCTCTTGGTGTCCGTGTGTTCTCATCACTTAGCTCCCATTTATAAGTGAGAACATGTAGTAGTTGGTTTTCTGTTCCTGAATTGGTTTGCTAAGGATAATGGCCTCCAGCTCCCTCCATGTTTGTTTCTGCAAAGGACATGGTATCATTCTTTTTTATGGTTGCATGGTATTCCATGGTGTATATTCCATGGTATATATGTACCACACTTTTAAAATCCAATCTATCATTGATGGGCATTTAGGTTGATTCCATGTCTTTGCTACTGTGAATAGTGCTGCAATGAACATTCAAAATGCACATTCAACTTAATCACCTCTAACATTAATTACTATCTTAACTCTTTGATGACAATACTACAACCTTAAAATACTTTACACTTCTGCTATGATTTGTTCTTGTTCCATATTTTAGTTCCATGTATTATACTTTATTATTATTTTATTCAATAATATTAATAATTATTATTTAGATTTGAATATTTCTTCCATGAATAGTCTTTAGAAATTTTAGTACAAATTTCTTGATGACAAATGTTTTGTTTTTACTAAAGTAAAAATGCCTTTTTTGTATACCTTTCTTTGAAAAATAGTTTTATGGATATACAACTCTAGGTTAAGAGTTATTTTCTCTCGGTTCTCTGGAGATTTTTTTTCTCTGTCTTCTGAGTACCATTGCTTGAGGTCTCCCTGAAATCCAATTGTTTTTCCATTATAGATGCTCTATCCTTTCTCTCTGGCCGCTGTTAAGAACTTCTCTCATTTTTGGTGTACTATGGCTTTACTATGATACCTTAAAGCATGAATTTATTTTTAATTTATTATTTTTAGGATATGTTATGCTTTATAGCTTTCTGTATTTATATTGTTTCATAAGTTCTGAAACAATTTCAGTCATTATCTTTTCAAATATTGCCTCTTCTTCAGGCTCATTATTCTTTACTTTTGGGACTTCAAATAGATATATGTTAGACTTTCTCATTCTATCCTTCATATGTCTCATCAAAGCCTTCATATTTTATTTTTTTATAACTTTGTGTTGAATTTTAGGTGATAACTGTAGACATGCCTTCCAGTTTATTAATTCTCTCTTCATCTATGTCTAATTTTCTGTTCAACCATCCTCTGGAGGTTTTTAAAAATGCAACAGATAAATTTTTTTTATTTCTAGAAGACCTGTTTTTAAGTTTCCCTGTTTGTTTCTGGTTGCATCTTATCAGGCACTCATCTGTATCATTGCATCCATTATTTCTGCACCCATTATATATATATATATGTCTGCTCTATATTTGGTATTTGACAGTTCCAACATCTGCTATTTGAGGGAGAGTGGAATTCTAAATGGTTTTTGGTTCATCTACGCTTACACATGTGGCTTGCCTTTCCTGTGTGCCTTCCTAATAATGGTGAGTTCATTTTATGTTCCTAATCTAGAGCTCTAACTTGGATACATTTTCAAGACAGAAGTTGCTTCTACTGCTACTGATCACCAGAGGGTGCCACTCACTTGGGACTGTGGCTTGGCTAACTACCCTCTCCACTGATAAAGTGTTTTGTTTGGTTTTGTTTTGTTTGGTTTATTTGTTTTTTGGTTTTGGTGTTTTTTGTTTTTTTGTTTTTTTTTAGACGGAGTTTCATTCTTGTTGCCCAGGCTAGAGTACAATGGCCCGATCTCAGCTCACCGCAACCTCCACCTCCCAGGTTCAAGCGATTCTCCTGCCTCAGCCTCCTGAGTGGCTGGGATGACAGGTGCAGACCACCACGCCTGGCTAACTTTTGTATTTTTAGTAAAGGCAGGGTTTCACCATGTTGGCCAGGACGGTCTTGAACTCCTGACTTCAGGTGATCCACCTCAGCCTCCCAAAGTGCTGGGATTATAGGCATGAACCACCACACTCATTCTATTTATTTATTTATTTACTTATTTGAGATGGAGTTGTGTTCTTGTTGCCCAGGCTGGAGTGCAATGGCATGATCTCAGCTCATCACAATCTCTGCCTCCCAGGTTCAGGTGATTCTCCTGCCTCAGCCTGCCAAGTAGCTGGGATTACAGACATGCACCACCATACCCAGCTAATTTCTTGTATTTTTTTTTTTAGTAGAGGCGGAGTTTCTCCATATTGGTCAGGCTGGTCTCAAACTCCCAATCTCAGGTGATCTGCCCAGGCCTCCCAAAGTGCTGGGATTACAGGCGTGAGCCACCGTGTTTGGCCTGGTGAAGTGTTTTAACAGCTGTGCTGCTGCCCTAAGGCAACCCCTCCTCTCCCAGATGTTAGCAACTCATTTCTCTTGGAATCTTCTCCTAAAGTTAGTGGTAGCAGAGATAACTCAAAGGATGTGCCCTCTGCACTGTTTTGCAGTGAGAGGTTGTCTCAGATCACCTAGTCTGCAGTGACGCTCAAAGCCAAAGGAGCTGAGCTTCACAACATAGCACACACTCAAAAATGGACTAATGGATGCCCAGTCAAGCAAAACATAATTTCCAGGTAGTCATTGTTCTTCTTGTTTTACTTTTGGATTTTTGGTTTCTATTGTTTGGCTTTATTCACTCAAGTTTTTGGCTGCTTGCTTGAATTCATCCTATTTTCAGATTCGTATGTCCCAGTGAAAGTGATTTACACTTGACTTTCAGCTACTCTACTTCTGGGTTATGGTATTTACACTTTTGTTTTTCATCACTGTTTTTGCACTTCACTGACCCTCTTTTAGCCTTCCCCTCATTTTTGTGAATTGGGGCTACAATGCCATGCAGGTCTGATAGCCCCGCAGGCCTGGGGTGAACCTGCAACCAGTCCTGCCAGATTCCCTCATCCCTGGAATTTGAGTTTTGAGCCAGGGGACAGAAAGAGTATAACAGCTGGAGTTGCCAAGCTAGGCAACAGCAGGTTCTGTTGGCTCTGCTGCCACATTGAGAGCTCTTCACTGTCCTGTACTCCCTGAGAGTTGGAGTTTCTATGTTGTATCTCAAATCCCATCAGCACGCTTCTTTTCTGCATGCTAGTCAGAGACAGTTTCTGTTGCTTCTGATGAAAAAAAAAAAAAAAACCCTTACTGATCCACAGGTCTTGTACTTGGAGTATCTTCATGCCTAAGCATTTTAATTCCAAGTCTGATCGATGACTACTGCCAATAAGGCCTCTTCGAAAATAAAAACAGCAGCAGTCACTGGAAAACAATTATTTGTTAGAGTAAACTTGGGTTTCATCATGGTTAATGTTCATAGAGTTTTTATAAAACCACATTGTAAAACGTTTTGTATATACAAAAGAATAAATTTAATGTATATGCATTAACAGCATAAACACAAAACGAACAACATTCTGAGGCACCTGAAACCCAGTTTACAAATTAGATTGGAATGTCACCATGGAGTACATATGACGCCCCTTGTTGACCCTTCCCCAATCATGTTCCTCTTCTTCTCCAAGGAGAACACCACAGGTTTCTTTCATACATCTAGTAGGATTTACCACTGGAGTGCAAGGATGGTTCATCAGCCACAAGTCTATAAATCTGACCACATCAACAGAATGAAGCATAGAAATCATAATCATTTTGATACATGGAGAAAAGCATTTAACAAAATTCAGTATCCTTTCATGATTTAAAAAAAACTCTCAACAAGTTAAGTATAGAAGGAATGTAGCTCAACATAATAAAAGTCATATTATGACATCATATTATTATCAAGCCCACAGCTAATATCATACTCAACAGTGAAAACCTGAAAGCCTTTCCTCTAGGATCAGGAACAAGACAAGGATGCCCACTTTTACCACTTCAATTAAATATATTAATAGTACTGGAGGTCCTAGCCAGAATAACTAGGCAAGAAAGAGAAATAAAAAGCATCCAGATCAGAAAGGAAGAAGTAAAGTTGTCTCTGTTTGCAGATGGCATGACTTTATGGATATAGAAAACTCTAAAGATTCTACCAAAAAAAAACTGTTAGGTTTTAGCCTCAGGAAGGGAGAAAAGAAAAACCTGTTAGGACTAATAGACAAATTCAGTAAAGTGGCAGGATACAAAATCAACATACAAAACCAGTAGCATTTCTGTCCCCTAACAATAAACCATCTAAAAAAGAAATCAAGAAAACAATCCTATTTATAACAGCATAAAAAATTACTTAGGAATAAATTTAACCAAGGAGGTGAAAGATCTGTACACTAAAAACTATAAATCATTGCTGAAAAAATTGAAGAAGACACAAATAAATAGAAAAATACCCCATATTCATGGATTGAAAGAATTAACATTGTTTTCTTTTTTGCCTTATGGAAAATTAATATTGTTAAAAGGTTCATGCACTCTACAGATTAAATGCAATTCCTATCAAAAGTCCAATAACATTTTTCTTTTTTTAAATTTATAAACAAAAGAAGTTTAACTCACAGTTCTGCATGGCTGGGGATGCCTCAGGAAACTTACAATCATGGTGGAGGGCTAAGGAGAAGCAAGGCATGTCTTACCTGGCAGCAGGAGAGAGCTCCAATGACATTTTTTACACAAATGGAAAAAAATCTTAAAATTGGTATGGAACCACAAATTACCCTGAATAGCCAAAGCAGTCTTAAACAAAAAGAACAAAGCTGGAGATATCACACTATCTGACTTCAAAATATACTGGTAATCAAAACAGTATAGTACCATAAAAATAGACCTATAGACCAATGGGGCAGAATAGAGTGCCCAGGAATAAATCTATACATTTATGGTCAATTTATCTTCAACAAAGGTGGCAAGAGCATGCAATGGGAAAATAATAGTCTTTTCAATAAATGGTCTTGGGAAAATTGGATGTCCACATGCAGAAGAATAAAATTAGGCCCTTATCTCATATCACAAAAAGAAACTCAAAATGGATTAGAGACTTAAGACCTGAGACTACAAAACTATTAGACAAAAACATAGGGAAAAGCTTCTTGACATTGCTCTGGGTGGTGATTTTTTGGATTCGACTCAAAAACACAGGCAACAAAAGCCAAACAGACAAATGAGACTGCATCAAACTAAAAAACGTTTGTTTGTTTTTTTTTCCACAATAAAGAAAACATATCAACAGAGTAAAAAGACAACTCTGGAATGGGAAAAAATGTTTTCAAACCATATATCTGATAAGAGGTTAATATCCAAAATGTATAAGAAACTCAAATAACTCAATAGCAGGAAAATAAATAACCCAATTACAAAATTGACAAAGGACCTGAAATAGACATTTCTCAAAAGAAGAGACACAAATGGCCCACGGGTATATGGAAAAAAATGTTCAACATTACTAATCATCAGGGAAATGCAAATCAAAACTATAAATCACCTCACACCTGTTATTATTAAACTAAAAAGCTAATAATAATAATAATTATCAAAAAGACAAAACTAACAAGTGTTGGCAAGGATGTGGAAAAAGGAAACCTTGTACATTATTGGTAGGAATATAAGACCCATTATGGAAAGGAATATGGAAGTTCCTCAAAATATTAAAAATAAAACTACCCTATGATTCAGCAATCCCACTTCTGGGTGTGTATACAAATGAAATCACTATCAATGAAATATCTGCACTCCAGTGTTCATTGCAGCATTATTCACAATAGCCAGGATATGAAAGCAACCTAAGTGTTCATCAATGGATGAATGGATTAAAAAAATATACACACAATAGAATACTATTCAGCCTAAGAAAGAAGAAAATTCATTTTCTTTTTCTTTAAACATGGTTATGTTCTTTAGTGATTTCTGAGATTTTGGTGCACCCATCACCCAAGCAGTACACACTGTACCCAATGTGTCATCTTTTATCCCTCACCCCTCCCTTTTCCCTGAGTCCCCAAAGTCCATTGTATCATTCTTATGCCTTTTCGTCCACATAGATTAGTTCTCACTTATGAGTGAGAACATACAATGTTTGGTTTTCCATCCTGAGCTATTTCACTTAGAATAATGGTCCTCAATTCTATCCAGTTTGCTGCGAATGCCATTATTTCCTTCCTTTTTATGGCTGAATAGTATTGCATAGTGTGTGTGTGTGTGTGTGTGTGTGTGTGTGTGTGTGTGTACACACACATATATGTAATTATAATATATACATATACATATACCATATATATATATATAACATTTTCTTTATCCACTTGTTGATTGATAGAGATTTGGGCTGGTTTCATATTTTTGCAATTATAAATTGTGCTGCTATAAGCATGCATGTGTAAGTATCTTTTTCGTATAATGACTACTTTTCCTCTGGGTAGATACCCAGTAGCGGGACTGCTGGATCAAATGGTAGATCTACTTTTAGTTCTTTAAGGAATCTTCACTCTGCTTTTCATAGTGGAAAGTTTACATTCACACCAAGAGTGTAAAAGTGTTCCCTTTTTACCATATCCACGCCAACATCTATTATTTTTTGATTTTTTTATTATGGCCATTCTTGCAGGAGTAAGGTGGTATTGCATTGTGATTTTGGTTTGCATTTCCCTGATAACTAGTGGTGTTGAGTATTTTTTCATATGTTTGTTGGCTGTTTGTATATGTTCTTTTGCGAATTAACTGTTCATGTCCTTAGCCGACTTTTTGATGGGATTGTTTTTTTCTTGCTGATTTATTTGACTTCCTTGTAGATTCTGGATATTAATTAGTCCTTTGTCAGAGGCATAGTTTGCAAATATTTTCTCTCACTCTGTGGGTTTTCTCTTTACTCTCCTGATTTTTACTATTATTAGCTTTTTAGTTTAAGTCATATCTATTTATCTTTGTTTTTGTTGCATTTGCTTTTGGGTTCTTGGTCAAGAAATCTTTGCCTAAGACAATGTCTAGAAAGGTTTTTCTGATGTTATCTTTTAGGGTTTTTATGGTTTCAGGTCTTATATTTAAGCGTTTGATCCATATTGAGTTGACTTTTGTATAAGGTGAAAGATGAGGATCCAGTTTCATTCTTCTATATGTGGCTTGCCAATTATCCCAGCACCATTTGTTGAGTACGATGTCCTTTCCCCACTTTATGTTTTCATTTGCTTTGTTGAAGATCAGTTGGCTGTAAGTATTTGGTTCTTTGTTTGTGGGTTGTTTATTTTGTTCCACTGGTCTGTGTGCCTATTTTTATACCAGTACCATGCTGTTTTGGTGACTATAGCCTGATAGTATAGTTCGAAGCTGGGTAATGTGATGCCTCCAGATTTGTTCTTTTTGCTTGGTCTTGTTTTGGCTATGTGGGCTCTTTTTTTATTTCATATGAATTTTAGGACTGTTTTTTCTACATCTGTGAAGAATGATGGTGGCATTTTGATGGGAATTGCATTGAATTTGTAGAACCCATCCATGTGTATGGGATATGTTTTCATTTGTGTCATCTATTATTTCTTTCAGCAGTGTTTTGTAGTTTTCCTTGTAGAGGTCTTTCTCCTCCTGGTTAGGTATATTCCTAAGTATTTTAATTTTTTGCAGCTATTGTAAAAGGGGTTGAGTTCTTAATCTGATTCTCGGCTTGAACACTACTATTGGTGTATAGTAGTGCTACTAATTTGTTTACATTAATTTTGTATCCTGAAACTTTAATGAATTCATTTATCAGTTCTAGGAGCTTTTTAGATGAGTCTTTAGGGTTTTCTAGATATACAATCATATTATCAGCAAACAGTGACAGTTTGACTTCCACTTTACTGATTTAAAGTGAAGAGAAATAAAGAAGTAAATATCTCCTTTAAAGAAATAAAGGGTGCCCTTTATTTCTTTCTCTTGTCTGATTGTTCTGCCTAGAATTTCCAGTAAATTGTGTGTTGAATATAAGTGGTGAAAGTATGCATTCTTGTTTTATTCCAGTTCTCATGGGTACTACTCTCAACTTTTCCCCATTAAGTATAGTGTTGGCTATGGGTTTAGAAAATTCATTTTCAACTGCATGAATGAATCTATAGGATATTATGCTAAATGAAATTAGCCAGGCACGGAAAGACAAATGCTGCATGATCTTGCTTATATGTGGAATCTAAAAAAAATTAAATTCAGGAGCAGAGAGCAGAATGGTGGTTGTCAGGGGCTGGGGGTGGGGACCTGGGGAGATGTTGCTCAAAGAGTACAAAATTTCAGTTCAGCAGGATGAATATCTGGAGATCTATTGTATAGTATGGTCGCTATAGTTAATAATAATGTATTACATTATTAATTTTACTAAGAGAGGAGATACTGAATGTTCTCACCACGCACAAAGATAACTATGTGAGGTCATGGATATGTTAATTAACTTAATTGTGGTATAATCATTTCATAACATATACCTATATTTAAAGATCACCTTGTACACTGTAAATATCACATTTTTTTTTTTTCTGAGATGGAGTCTCACTCTGTCACCAGGCTGGAGTGCAGTGGCGCAATCTCCCAACTCACTGAAGTGATTCTCAGCCTCCCCAGCCTCAGCCTCCCCAGTAGCTGAGATTACAGGCATGCACCACCATGCCTGGCTAATTTTTGTACTTTTAGTAGAGACGGGGTTTCACCATGTTGGCCAGGCTGGTCTCAATCTCCTGACCTCAAGTGATCTGTGTGCCTTGGCCTCCCAAAATGCTGGGATTACAGGCGTGAGTTACTGCACCTGGCCAAATATATACAATTTTTATTTGTCAATTATACCTCAATAAAGCTGGGAAAAAAATAAAGGTCAGAAAAGGAGACTCTAATAAGTAATACAATGAATTCCTCTAACATTTCCAAAAAAAGAAATAAATTGTCATTATTGGTGAAGGTGAAGTCTCCAGCATGGCCCAGGCAGGCAGCCCTTTCTCCTTCTCCCTTCCTAAAGTCATCACTATGACAAAAGTGTTTTTACACTTTTACTACAAATTACATGTATCCATTAACAATATGCTGCATTTTGTGTTTTTAAAACCATACTTATCATTCTGCTGCTCACTCTTGTTTTTTTTTTTTT